TCAGCATAGGGATGCCACTGCCCACAGTGGACTGGGCCTTATTACATCAATTAGGAAAATACTGCACAGACATGGCCACAGGCCAATCTGATTCGGGCAATTCTTTGCTTAATGTACCTTTTCTCTAGTTACTTAAGGTTTGTGTCAAGTTGACAGCAGAAACTCATAGTGTCAGTAAGACAGCAGAAAGTGACAGGATTTTATTTTAAATGTAAGGTATTCATAAGCAGTTTACAAGAGTCTTGAGATAGGAACTTGCCAGGAATGGTTAAAGAACATAAGATAGGTCTATGTGGCAGATGTAATGGTCTGGAGGGATGAAGGGCAAAGGAAGTCTCTAACATAATTAAGGAGGTCTTGGGACCATGGCAGAAACACTGGATTTCATTCCAGCTATGCTAGGAGACTATAGAAGTTAGAGATTGGAGGGTGACGGAACTTGATTGACAGTTACATAAGATACAAGACCACAGCGTGACTGTTAAACAGACCACAGTGGGAGTGGAGGTTAGGCTGGGAGACTAGATAAGAGGCTTCTGTGAAGTATTGGTTGCCATTTTAAGAGTTTCCATTCCCCCCTACACCTACCTCTTCACCCTCCTCCGGTGACCATGTTCTGGAAGTATCTGGTGTGAAGTAGCAGGTTGCTATAGGTAGAGGCTGCTGTGAGTCTGCAGAGGGAGGCAGGCAGATTCAGGATCACACAGAATACAATTTACTGTAGATTGTTAGTTAGCTTTTTTTGTCACTGTAACAAATACTTGAGACAATCAATTTATATTCATGGTTTCAGAACTTTCAGTTCATAGTCAGATGGCATCATTGCGTTTGGGTCTGTGGTCTGGGAGAACATTGTGATGGGGTCCTGAGGCAGAGGGAACTGTTGACTTTATGATAGCTGGGAGGAGCCAGGGTCCCCATATCTCCTTCCACAGTAGACCTCCAGTGTCTCAATTTCATACCATGAGGTCTACCTCCTAAACGTTCTACCACATACCAATACAGGCATGGGTTGGGGGCCAACCTTTCAACACATGGTTCTGGGGGCATTTGAGACCCATGCTACTGTAGGGACTAGCTGACAGAAGCAAGGTCAAGGGGAATAGCTAATTCAGTGGATCTCTGTGACTTCTGTCAGAAGGAAGGGGCTTGTGATTTTGCCAGGACAAAAATGACTTTGAAACAAGCCAGAATATATCTGTTTTATCTCCAGCTAACATCATGTATGCCAGGCACATTGCTGCCACTGATGACATCAGATCTTAGTTATAAAGTTATATACACTATATAAGTTATATACACTACTCAGTTTTATGCAACATGCTGGTAAACTATAGGTAAGATAGGTCAGGGTTACTTATGGCAATTGTCATGGTTATGATTCAAGATGGTTGTAGTTGGGTCAAGCTGGGTCTCTATGGTTTTCTACCAAGCTTTATGGACTCATATGCAGAGTATTTATATGAAAAATAACTTCTTCATTAATTTTCTCCTCCATCCTCCTGATGTAGAATCATATCTATCTTTTTTAAAAAATATTTTTATTTTATAATTAACTTAATTTCACATATCATCCACGGATTCCCCCATCCTCCCTCCTCCCACCCCCAGGCCTCCCCCCCCCTAATCCACCCTCCACTCCAACCTCCTCCAAGGCAAGGTCTCCCCTGGGGAGTCAATCCAGCCTGGTAGACTCAGCCGAGGTAGGTCCAGTCCCCTCCTCCCTACACCAAGGCTGAGCAAAGTGTCCCAGCATAGGCCCCAGGCTCCAAAAAGCCAGCCATGCACCAAGGACAGGTCCTGGCTCCATTGCCTGGGGGCCTCCCAAACAGTTCAAGCTAATCAAATGTCTCACTTATCCAGAGGACCTGGTCCAGTTTCATGGGGGCTCCTCAGCCATTGGTTCACAGTTCATGCATTTCCACTAGTTTGGCTATTTGTCCCTGTGCTTTTTTCCAATCATGGTCTCAATATCTCTCGCTCATACAATCCCTCCTCTTTCTTGTCGATTGGACTCCTGGAGCTCCATCTGGGCCTCGGCCATGGATCTCTACATCCACTTCCATCAGACATTGGATGAGAGTTCTATCATGACAGCCAGGGTGTTTGGCCATCCTATCACCAGAGCAGGTCAGCTCAGGCACTCTCTTGACCATTGCCAGTAGTCTATTGTGGAGCTATCCTTGTGGATTTCTGGGGACCTCTCTAGCACTCTGCTTCTTCCTATTCCTCTGGGGTCTTCATTCATCATGGTATCTCCCTCTCCATTCTTCCACTCTGCTCCTGATCCAGCTGGGACCTCCCGCTCCGCTAAGCTCTCTTTCCCCCAACCCTTGCCCTCCATTACTCCCCACCCCCAGTTTGCTCATGTAGATCTCATCCATTTCTCTGTCATTGGGTGATCCCTGTGTCTTACTTAGGGTCCTCTTTACTAGGTAGCCTCCCTGGAGTTGTGAGTTGCAGTCTGGTTATCCTTTGCTTTACATCTAGTATCTACTTATGAGTGAGTACATACCATGTTTGTCTTTCAGAGTCTGGGTTACCTCACTCAGGATGATTTTTTCTAGTTCCATCCATTTGCCTGCAAACCTCATGATGTCATTGTTTTTCTCTGCTGAGTAGTACTCCATTGTGTATATGTACCACATTTTATTTACCCATTCTTCAGTTGAAGTGCATCTAGGTTGTTTCTAGGTTCTGGCTATTACAAATAATGCTGCTATGAACATAGTTGAGCATGTGTCCTTGTGGTATGATTGAGCATTCCTTGGGTATATGCCCAAGAGTGGTATAGCTGGGTCTTGAGGGAGGTTGATTCCCAATTTTCTAAGAAAGTGCCATATTGATTTCCAAAGTGGCTGTACAAGTTTGCATTCCCACCAACAGTGGAGGAGTGTTCCCCTTGCTCTACATACTCTCCAACATAAGCTATCTTCAGTGTTTTTGATCTTAGCCATTCTGATGGGTGTAACATGGTATCTCAGTCATTTTGATTTGCATTTCCCTGATGACTAAGGATGTTGAGCAATGCCTTAAATGTCTTTCAGCCATTTGAGCTTCTGCTGAGAATTCTCTGTTTAGCTCTATAGCCCATTTTAAAACTGGACTGTTGGGTATTTTGATGTCTAATTTCTTGAGTTCTTTATATATTCTGGATATCAGCCCTATCTTTTACAATACTTTATCTCACTCTTTTGTACTCTATTATATACTTTTTGTGTATCTACTTCTCTGGTACAGAATCCATTACTCCACAGGTAACAGAATGACAAATGTATGAATGAATGAATAAACAAATGGACCGATTGTTTGGCTGATGTTAAACATCCACATACTTATTTAGTTGGATAAAGAGGAATCTTTAAATAACACCATTTGTGAGATGACTCATCCCTAACAGGCTTGAGGGCCAGCTGGCCCAAACAAGTAAAAAAGATACTTTCTGAGAGACAACCTGAATCTGCCTAAGGGCCTTAGCAACAGCAGCTGAAACACGATCTGGAGATGACTTGGACCAGTGAGAGGCAGCCATGTCACATCAGCAGATGCATATTCATCAGACCTCCCCCCAGGGTGGGATGGAGGGTATATAAGGCTTGCCTCTTCCTGAATAAACTGAGCTTGTTGTTTCAACATTTTTCCTGAGTCTGTGTGATTTGACTCTGTGCCTACTTGGCCCCCTTCCCCAAAGGGAACAACAACACAGGACCCTGCCACAACCATTCATTAAAATGGCCTCTGTGTGCACAGGTCAACTTTATAACATAATTTACAGCTATGAAAGCATCAGAGATTGGAATTGTTGGAGAAACTTGAATAGTGGAATTAGGAAGTCTTTTAAAGTCCCTTTGACCACTGGAAAATGCTCAAGGCCGCCCCTTCACTGATCAACCTTTTCTCAAAGTTCCTCGCACAGTTTGTAACAGACAAGGGACCAGCATACTTAGGGAAGCCAATATTAGCTCAACAAATAGAAACCGCACCATTTTGATCTTTTGTTTAAGGTTGTCAAGCATTTGTGAAATCCCCACTTCAGCTTCCTGAGGGTGGAAAGTGACTTCCTGGGCCACTCACTTGTACAATAGCCTTCAGCTGGTTTTCTATGCATCCCCACTTCACTTAAAATGAATTTCATATAAGCAAATATCTTGTCTCAAACAAATAATGATTTATTTGGTGAGTGTGCTAAAACATTCTAGGATCCCTTTAACCAGCAAGCCTCTTGAATGTACTTAAAAGGATGCCTTTTGTTAGAAAAAAACCTTTTGTGCAACTCCCAAGGATTTATTATCAATAAAATTTGAGCAGTTATAACTTAGATATTTCTATCAGATATACACTTTTGGTCATTTGTACTTGGGTAAATTCTTCAGATACTGGGTCTGGACACTTGTAAGAGATGCCATATTCTAGCTCTAAGTCTAGACCAATATGTGTAAGTGTAGACCTCGCCATATATGGTTATTGAACTTTGGACATGTGGAACTGAAGAACTGAGGTTTTAGATTAATTAAATTATAGCTAAACTTGAAAAACTGATTCTTGATTTGGTTGTTTGGAGGCTTTAAGTTGGAGTACCCTAGCTGGATGGCTCTACTAGTCCAGCTATAAATTTGATGAGCTTTACAGAGAGAATAACTTTCTGATGAAAATTTAGGGTGCCAATTAAGATGTACTGTAAGTAAAAATTCCACACTGAGTTTAAAGATCTGATTACAAAAAGATGTAAAATATCTCATTAATGCCTTTCATTCTGATTACCTGTTGAAGCAATAGCATTTGCATATGTTGAGTTAAAATATGTTAACAAAATTAATTTCTCTGGTTTATTTTTACATTATAAATGTGATTATTAATATTTTAAATATACATACTTATAATATTTCTTCCAGAAAGTGTTGACTGTCTTCCCATTAGAACTTTATATCCATATCCTGTTGAAGTCGAAAGCACACAGCCCATCATGCTCTTAATCTTGTTCTGTTGTTCCACCTATTTAGACCTATGTTGGACAGCACAAGTTGAAAGCCAGCATTAGAATACTGTCTCCTCAACTTCCTGAATAGAACACTAATAGCACACAGACACTAAGATCAACAGTTAATAAATGGGACCTCATGAAACTGAAAAGCTTCTGTAAGGCAAAGGACATCATCAATAGGACAAAACAGCAGCTTACAGAATGGGAAAATATCTTCAGCATCCCCACATCTGACAGAGGGCTGATTTCCAAAATATATAAAGAACTCAAGAAAGTAGACATAAAAAAAACAAATAATCCATTTTAAAAAATGAGGTGCAGACCTAAACAGAGAATTCTCAACAGAAGAGTCTCAAGTGGCTGAGAAACACTTAAAGAATTGTTCAACATCTTTATCCATCAGGGAAATGCAAATCAAAATGACTCTGAGATTCCATCTTATTCCTGTCAGAATGGCTAAGATAGAAAACACCAGTGACAGCTCATGATGGACAGGATGTGGAGCAAAGGGAACACTCCCCCAGTGCTGGTAGGAAATTAATATGGCAGTTTCTCAGAAAAATGATAATTGATCTACCTCAAGACTCAGCTACATACTCCTGGGTATATATCCAAAGGATGCTCACTAATGCCACAAGGACACTTGCTCAACTATGTTCATAGCAATTTTATTAATAATAGCCAGAACTTAGAAATAATCTAGATGTCCCTCAACTGAAGAATGGGTAAAGAAAGTGTGGTTCATTTACACAATGGAGTATTACTCAGCTGATAAAAACAATGACATCATGAAATTCTAAGACAAATGGATGGAACTAGAAAAAAAATCATCCTAAATGAGGTAACCCAGACCCAGAAAGACAAACATGGTATGTACTCATTTATAAGTGGATATTATCTGTAAAATAAAGGATAACCATGTTGCAATCCACAGAAACTAGAGAGGCTAGGTAGCAAAGAGGACCCAAGGAAGCATTTGGATTTCCCTGGGAAGGAGAAATAGAAAAGATTTTGTGGGTGGAGTGGGGGAAGGTGGGGATGGGAACATGAGGGATCAGGTGGGGCTGGTTGTAGTGGGAGAGTACTGAAAGAACTAACTGGAAAGGGGGTCATTTCAGGGTCAGGTAGAAACCTAGTGCAAGGGAAACTCCCAGGAATCTACAAAGATGATCCCAGCTAAGCAGGATTTCCTAGCAAAAGCAGATAGATACCCTGAATTGACCACTTCCTGTGACCAGGCATGACTACCAGTGGGGGGATTGGGACACCAACCCAACCACAGACCTTTGACCCATAGCCTGTCTGGTATGTGGGATGTGCTGGGGTAAGGGTAACAGAGAGAATGTGAGAGTGTTCAACCAATGACTGGTCCAGCCTGAGACCCATGCCGGGAGAGTGAACCCAACCCTGACACTTCCTGGAGCACTAAGACCCAGAGGATAGATGACCCTGAGACCTAGGATAAAACCAAACATGACTAGAGAAAAAAAAGTCAATGTAATGATGCCCAACGATATTCTGCTATACTCATAGATTGGTGTCTATCTCTGTCTTCATCAGAGAGACTTCACCCAGCAACTGGTGGAAACAGATGCAGAAATCCACAGTCAAACGTTCGACCAAGCTCAGGGAATCCTGCTGAAGAGAGGGAGGAACAATTGTAGTAGCCAGAGGAATCAAGGACACCACAAGAAAATCTACAGAATCAACTAACCTGGGACCATAGGAGCTCACAGAGATTGAATTGACAACCAAGAACCCTACATGGGACTGACCTAGGCACTCTGCGTATATGTTACAGTTGTGTAGCTTGGTCTTCTTGTGGCACTCCTAGCAGTGGGAGCAGGGGCTGTCTCTGACTCTTTTTCTGGGTTTTGGGACCCTACTTCTAATACTGGGTCACCTTGCCCAGCCTTAGTGCATGTGGAAGTGCTTAATCTTACTGTATCTCGATATGCCATGTTTTGTTGATATTTATGGGAGACCTGCCCTTTCCTAAACAGAAATGGAGGAGGAAATCGATGGGGGAGGAGGAGACTGGGAGGAGAGGGAAACTGCAGCTAGGATGTAAAATGAATAACAACTAACTAACTAACTATGAAATAAAACAGCTTATCTTGAAAGAATTGAAAAAAAATAAAGAATATTGTCTCCTGCTTAGTCTGTTTCTAAGGATACAGAGACTACCCACCTTAAAGACATCTTCAAGTCACTCTTGATTTGGGAATCTGAAATCACAACTTTGATGGTAAGTTGTTGGCCTGGAACTTCAAGGTCATTCAGGTGAGATAGCCATTCCGTAATCCAAAGCCTCACTTGGGGAAAGAGCCTTGCAGAGGACCATGATGTATAACACGGAGAGTAGCCCTGGGCAGAGCTGTGGAGCCTGAGAAGGAACATAGGGGGTGCATTATCCCTGTGAAATTTTATCAGTTCCATTCGTATATTGACCATAACCTTCCTTCATCTGAGATAGTGCGAGAGGATTTGTTTGTTTATTTATTTACTTTTGAGATCAGGATTGCAGTGTTTCCCCTCCCCTTTTCTCCTTCCAAAGCCTTCCACATATATACCTCTCTTTGCTCTCCTTCAAATCCTTGGTTTCTTTTTCATTAATTGTTATTATATGAATATACATACACATGTATATATATTCCTATATCCGTATAGAATATGCTTAGAATCTGCTTAGTCTGTATATTATGTATGTACGTTTTCAGGGTTGACCATTTGACATTTGATATTGGATAACTGATTGTTGTGATCTTCTCTGGGTGAGACTATTTCTCCTGCCCTCAACATTCCTTAGTTGCCCAGCATAATTCTTAACAGCCTCAACATTTGTCCTTATACCCACAGATAAGTGCAGTATTCCCTACTCATCAAGGAAACTTGCAACAGACAGAAACGACTACAGAAAACCACAGTCAATCAAAATGCAGAGTTGTGGAGCCCAGTTCCAATGGATACATCTGTGAGACACTCCCACACTTAAGGCTCAGGCAACATGGCAGAAGAAAGGGGAAAAAGATTGTAAGAGCCAGAAGATCGAGGAGTTTGCTGTGAGATGTGTCTCCTAGTAATGTCAGAAGCTGCACTCATAAAGTTTCATCGATATGACTGTCCAAGCATGAGCGGAACAAGGACAACATCAATAGACATACCAAAGTGGAAGGGAAAAGCCCAGGAGGCCTCAACCCTGTACAAAGACCTACAGGACTTCTGTTTCCTGAAGTTTCCTATTTTCACGCATGTATACACGATTAGGGAAATGCATTAAACATTCGCCGCAATCAAAAGCCATGAGAATATGCAGTATTGAAAGAGAAATGAGCTGCATATGAAAAAGAATGTGCTTTGGAAGAAGAACTAGTGCAGCCCTCAAACTGTGGCTGGGGTCATTGTTGGATTCTGATATATTTCCTAGGGAATCTTCGTAGTCTCAAAACTACTGCCCAGTGATACTGAGCCATCACTTTTCTTTCTTGTTGTGGTTTTCTGAATTTGACTGGGTTTCTTTAGAAGTGATGCAATATGTGACAGTAATGGATTAAAAATGAAAGCAGATATGAGATTCCAGATGTCTGTCATTAAACTATACAGTGAAGAGCTTTATAAATATGGAAAAGAACTCTACTCTTCTCAATACTTTTTGATTCTGAAAATTAGCTGTTTTCCATAAGCCTTATGTTAACAATAAAAGTTTTTTTAAACATTTAAAAGTTTTTCTATTTTAGTTGCTAATATGATGAACCTAAATAGATACGTCCCACAGAAACATGGTGAAACACACCTATAATCCCATCATTCAAGATGCTGAAGCAGAAGAATCACAAAGAATTTAAGGCTAGTTTGGGTTTCATAGCTAGACTCTTTCTCAGAATAAAGTAAAACAAAACTCAAACCAAACATCTTGCGGGAGTCTTCAGTAATCTTTAAGAGTAAAAATGACAGTCTGGGAGAGGTGTTAAGTGCTTGCCATGTGAGTATGGGGACTGGAGTTAGGATTCACAGATCCAAAGTAAAAATGCCAGGTTGGTGTGGTGGGCTTCCTGAAATTCCAGCCTGGGAAGGTGGATCCCCAGAGCAAGCTGGCTAGTGAGATTAGCCACATGAGGAAGCTCTGGGTTTAACTGGGATACACTATCTGACCGAATAAGGTAGAAGAACAGTGATGAGTCCAGGCCTTCTCTTGGACACACAAGCACACACGTGCCCACACACATGTGAGCACATATACACACACTCATACCCCCCCTCCCCCACGAAAATGGAAAAGAAAAAGAATGCCATGATTCCAAGTTGAAAATTGTTAAGGTAAATGAGGAGCGTTCGTAAATGAATGAGTTTGGAGCTGCTTGAAAGTTGATGCTGCATTCACAATGCCTATGTGTACATTGCAGCTATTCAAGAGTGTGATTACAATAGTTTTCAACCCTAGCATCAAAGTCAGCCTATTGGACCAAAAATAATGACAGCATCCCAGGTTTCTGTCCCCAGATGCTTAAATCAGAAGGCCTGGGAAGACATCTAGAAATCTGTGCCTTTGGAAAGAGCCCCAGGAATTTCTTTATATATCTTATGAAGAGCATCAAAGAAAAGATACCACTTATTACAAAGAAATTCAGGAGATAAAAACAAGCGAAATTGCTTGCTGCAGTCTGACTCTGGCTTTCTTCTGGCAAGTCTATTGAGAAATAAAGTAGTACGAGGTAGATTGTCCAGCTCAGGTGGTCACATCAGGGGCCATGTACTCCTCTGACTGCTTCCCTGATGCCCTGTCATGGAGCTTCCTGAGCCAAGCAGGTTCTCAAGGGCACACCCCAAAGGCAGGAGCCAGGTTCTCAAGCACACCCCAAAAGCAGGAGCCAGGTTCTCAAGGCACACCCCAAACCCAGAAACCCGGTTCAGCTTTAGGAAGATGAGATGGTGCAGTCCCTACAGACTCAGGCATTGGAACTTGCTTTACTTAGGCTCTTTAAAAATTTCCCATGACTGCATTTAATAAACACCTTCTAGAATTCATTAGTTTTCTTTTTTTACTTTAAAAAATGTTGATATGGCCGGGCGGTGGTGGCGCACGCCTTTAATCCCAGCACTCGGGAGGCAGAGGCAGGTGGATCTCTGTGAGTTCGAGGCCAGCCTGGTCTCCAAAGTTCCAGGAAAGGCGCAAAGCTACACAGAGAAACCCTGTCTTGAAAAAACCAAAAAAAAAAAAAAATGTTGATATGTGTTGAGAACCAATTCAATTTCATATATTTGTTATTTCAATTTCTTTACACTAGGTTTAAATTAAACCTTGTCCACTCAAATCAACTTATAAAATACACCAATATATTACCATAGTATTTTAATTAATCTTTTTCTCTTAAATTTTAATATATTTTCAGTAAAATAGTCATCTTGTTTTGTTTTGATTTTTTAAAATTATATAATTTAGTGCTCCGTAAACATTGTAAAGAAGCTGAATGATACACTGGCAAGTACCATTTTTTGATAGTTACACCTGGGTAGCTCTTGAGCTAGTACAAGGGAGAAAGTAAACATTTAATTTGATTTAAATTAATGCACTTAATCCAATAGTAGCCACTACTAGCTGGTGATCACTACAAATTCTGTTTCTCCCTTTTGTCTTCTTATTTAACATTGGGAAAATCCTCCACATGCTTCATACCGTTTCTGAGAAGGAGAAGGTATGAGAGAGGAACTGGTTAAGAGGCAAGCTTGTGTGGAACTAGCATGAGTCAGGAGACTTCGATCCTGGGGCTAAACTCTCTACCAACTGTGAGACTTCATGAATTACCTATCCCTCATCTTAGCAACAGAATTTCAGAATTCAGAATCAGCCAGGAGGGTGAAACATGCCTTTGAAAACAGGCGCTGAGACTGAGAAATAGTTTCTCTACCCAGTGATGTCCTGGAGTCACAGATCTCCCTCCTTTGTCTATCCTTTATCTAGTGACTACATTGGTTTTGTTTTTCATTTTCATTTTCCTATGGTTTAGTGTCTACTTCCTAGTTCAGTTTGAAAGGCAGTGCTAACTGCATTTTGCCCAGTCCAGGTCTTTCTCTCCTGTCATAGATAAACATATTTTCATGGGCTTTCTGATGTCACTAGGTGGTGACTGACTGTCCAAGTGTTCTTATGTCATTGGCCCCCCCCCCCCCATCCCCGTCCCCCAGCCTTCGGTGAGAAAGTAAGAAGTGACATACTGCCACCTAGTGTCTAGAGTCATTAGAAATCTTGATTTATAATGTATTAGAGTCCTAAACTATGTATATATTATTAGTTCACATATGTTATTATGTGCTATTAATACATACATATTATTTTGTACCTATTATGATATAAATATTGTTAGTCATGTTTTACAGATGAGAAAAATGGATCCAAAAGACAAAATAGTGATCTTTGGGAGAGCTGAGCCTGGCAATGGGTCCCACATGATTTATATTCCATCATATCACATGGCTACCAGTTATATATAGGAACACCCATTCTATGTATAACCTCACTGGGCTTCTCTAAGTACATGTGTGTCTCTGTGTGCTCTGTGTGTGTAAGCATGTTCATGTGTATGCATGCATGTATGTATTGAGAGAGAGGGGAGAGAGAGAGAGAGAGAGAGAGAGAGAGAGAGAGAGAGAGAGAGAGAGAGAGAGAGAGAGAGAAGCAATGAAATGTGAAGGCTGGGTCTGGAGCTATAAAATAAAAGATCACAAATATCATAAATGAACTTGAGATTATGGCTTATAAACACTCCATCAATTGATCATCAGACGAGCAGCTGGGAGATCAGAGTAATAACTGGATGCTTCAGTCAGATACTCAAGACCCTTTCAGGGCAAGTAGTCAAAACATAATGTCGTGGGGGTAATGAAAGGCGAGGGTCGAGGGAAAGAGAGCTTGGGGGAGCGGGAGATCCCAGCTGGATCAACAACAGAGAGGGAGAACAAGGAATAGGAGACCATGGTAAATGAAGACCACATGAGAACAGGAAGAAGCAAAGTGCTAGAGAGGCCCACAGAAATCCACAAAGATACCCACACAACAGACTGCCGGCAATGGTCGAGAGACAGCCCGAACTGACCTACTCTGGTGATGGGATGGCCAAACACCCTAATTGTTGTGCTAGAAACCTCATCCAACTACTGAGGGATCTGGATGCAGAGATCCATGACTAGGCCCTGGGTGGATCTCTGGGAGTCCAATTAACGAGAATGAGGAGGGTTTATATGAGCGAGAATTGTTGAGACCAAGGTTGGATAAAGCACAGGGACAAATAGCCAAATGAATGGAAACACATGAACTATGAACCAATGGCTGAGGGGTCCACACTGGATCAGGCCCTCTGAATGGGTGAGACAGTTGATTGGCTTGATCTGTTTGGGAGGCATCCAGGCAGTGGGACCAGATCTTGTGCTCATTGCATGAGTTGGCTGTTTGAAACCTGGGGCCTATGCAGGATTGTTTGGCTCGGCCTGGGAGGAGGGGACTAGACCTACCTGGACTGAGTCTACCAGGTTGACCTCAGTCTGTGGGAAAGGCTTTGCCCTGGAGGAGATGGGAATGGGGGGGGGCGTTGGGGGGAAGGTGAGGGGGACGGGAGGGGGGAGAACAAGGGAATCCGTGACCGATATGTAGAACTGAATTGTATTGCAAAATAAATTAAAATAAATTAAAAAAAAAAAAAACATAATGTCATCAGATTCTAAATGTCTACATTGGTGATTGTTGCTTTTGGGGTGTCATTTTGCTGTTAGCAACGGCTTGTGAGATAGCTGTGACATATGCCTGTGAAGGGATCAGTGCACATTCATTCAGTGGCTGCAGGAGTTCTAGCAGGAATGACAGTGAGTTTTCATCTCATATGCCAATTCTAATTGATTGGTGGTAGCTCTTTGGAGAAATAGACTACACAGAGAAGTAATTGATGGCATCTCCAGGATTCTGTGGGAGTGAGTCATTAATTGATTAGTAATATCTGCTATGAGGACTAGATTATAAAGTTTTAGGGCAAGGACTGGTTTATGGCTGTTGTATTTACTGCTGTACTTAAGATGATAGTCTGCACATAAATTTTTTTTTTTGGTGATATACATTGGAGGAAAGGAGATGATGTCATAAAAGTCAAGTGAATGCCATTTTTGCTTGCCTGGTGAGAAGCCATAGGATGCCTCCAGGGACAGCAAGTGGATCTGCCTCAATTCCTGGAAAGTTGTTTCTCTAGCTGTGGTACTCTTCCATGATGGAAGGGTGATTCGGCAGCTGGAGGTGGTATTTCAAGGAGCCCCAATCACCAGTCCGCACCTGAACCTGATGCTTTTGGTACTGATACTGTGATTAATTTTCACTGCTCGGCTGCAGGATTCCTTTGTTCTGTGGGCTCCTCCTCCTCTCTGGATCATCAATTTACACTCCCTATAGTCTGAACTAATGACTTTCCTCCAACTCACAGCTAGCCTGAACATATTGGGGAAAAAAGAGCTACCTCTTAAAAGAATTATTACTCTGTTCTAGACATTGTAGTCCATATGCAGTACAGTTTGCCTTTGATGTCCGTGGGACTTCCAACTGTGGATTCACCTAATGACTGACTGAAAACATTTGGAAATATTTGTACTGAACAGGCACAGCTCCTTGTCCTTGTCATTGTTCCTGGAACAATA